TTTTTTTTGGAGACAGAGTCTTGCTCTGTCACCCAGGCTGGAGTGCAGTGGCGCGATCTCGGCTCACTACAACCTTCGCCTCCTGGGATCAAGCGATTCTCCTGCCTCAGCCTCCCAAGTAGCTGGGATTACACATGCCTGCCACCTGCCTGGCTAATTTTTTGTATTTTTAGAAGAGATGGGGTTTTGCCATGTTGGCCAGGCTGGTCTCAACCTCCTGTGAGACCTCATGTGATCCACCTGCCTTGGCCTCCCAAAGTGCTGGGATTACAGGTGTGAGCCAAGGCACCTGGCCAAGACCCTATCTCTCAAAACAAAACAAACCAAAACAAGAATTGCAGTTATTTACATTTTGTGAAAATTAGGTTTGGTTTAGTGAATACCAATACAACAAAACAAAGCCAGGACACTGACTTTGTTAATTTATGCAGCTTCAAATAACAAGCCGTCCACGTTGACAATTTAGATCCACTTTACTCAATGTATACGATATAGCACTGATGAAAATAGTGATGGAAATTACATATTTGGGACTGCAGGCATCGGTAGGATGAAGAAAGTTAACCTTTGCTTTCACACGCAAAGCACTAGCAGGCCAGCTTGCCCTCTTGGCTTGTGGCTACTCCCTGACTCAGCTGTTGTTATGTCTTTATAACAAGCTCCCTCTCTCTCACACACACTCAGACATACTCACACCCTCACACAAACACCAAGTGACACTCATAAACACACAGAAACCTTCTTTATGAGTTTTCCAGCTATAAGGGGAGCATATATAAAATGAAAGGCCTGCTTTTCAACAGTATCGTCAGCCACGACTATTCTTCTCAAGATGTACATGGGGTGCAAAGTGAATCAACTAAAAACATCTTTCCTGCTATGTAGTATACAAGATCTTGGCACTAGATTGAGGGTATCTTTTTATCAAATTTCTTTAAAATCAACAAGAGAAATTCAGCTGTTTTTTATTTAGCAAAGAGAAAACAAGAAAAAAAAAAAATGTCTGGCAAGATCACCTAGAATCAGTGGCCTCCAAAGCCTACCTGTGCTTTTAACATGGCCCGGTAAGCGATGCATCAGTGACACATAAGAAATGTGGAGGTTAAATTCCAGTCCATAAGAAAGATACTAGAAAGTAACCCTAAGTTAGTGATCCAGAATGGAATTCCTGGTCTCTGAACGATAGAACTAAAGGTGGAATAAGAAACACTTATTCACTCCTGGAATATGTATTGAGGGGCTACTTGTGCCTAGTCCCGAGCCAGCTGTACAGAGATATAGCGAAGACAGTGCCAGCCTCTGATGTAAGGCATGCTAGGACAGTGCCAGTGGGTGTGGGGGTGGAGGCAGCAGGGGGATATCTGTTTGCTTATTTTTTGCTCGGAACCATCCCTTTTAGTACTACAGTGCTGACTATGTCGTAAGGAACATCCAGAGTATGCCTAATGGCTGATGAAACAGCCAATACTGGCTGAGAGCCTGGCAGTACAAGGTGTTCAATCAGGGGCAGGTCTACTGTTTCGGCTCCAGTGGAAGACACGGTACTGATTCCCTAGAGGGCTGTTGGGGCAAGGAACCAGTCACTTGATGGTTGATTCCCTGAGGCTGAGGAAGGCTTGTGGGCCCTTGGTCCACAGCCAGGAGATGGGCATGCAAGGGAGATGGAGAGACGGCAAGCCTGTGAGGCCCCGAGACTCGGATGCTCGGAGAGGCAGAGGCTCATCTGTGCAAAATTGTGCTCTGTAACAAAATGGCTATACGTCTACATTTTCTTCTGCTTATGTTAAGCATTTCTGGAACGGTCTGTGGGTTCCTTGTTCCACTCTGAGTCCAGGAACATGAGGCCTTTAAACTTTCGGTATGAGGCATAAGATGCAACAATCGGCCGGGTGCAGTGGCTACGCCTATAATCCCAGCACTTTGGGAGGCCAAGGTAGGTGGATGACATGAGGTCAGGAGATCGAGACCATCCTGGCCAACATGGTAAAACCCCGTCTCTACTAAAAATACAAAAATTAGCTGGGCGTGGTGGCTCACGCCTGTAGTCACAGCTACTTGGGAGGCTGGGGCAGAAGAATCGCTTGATCCAGGGAGTTGGAGGTTGTAGTGAGCCGAGATCACACCCCTGCACTCCACCCTGGCAAGAGAGTAAGACTCTGTCTCAAAAAAAAGATGAACAATCAGATTTTGTACACAGGCTGAAAGGAAGGGGTGGTCATTAAATGGCACAACATACATATGGCCTGAGAAGAGGGTCTCACTCCCACCACCATGTACCCTGACTGTCCCGCTCTAGTTGTCAAATCAAATAAAGATCCAATCTCATCACAAGGGTTACATTAGTTCTAGGTTTAAGCCAAAAAACTCTACTAGCAAATGTTCTCAATTCTTTTGATGATATTAATTCATGGTCATAACAGTCAAACTACTTATCAAATGTCATTCCAAATTCCTCTGACCCAGGTAGCTTGTCCACAGCAATAAAGTTTTCTTTACTTCAGTGCCCTGAACAATAATGGAATTCAAATCTTTTTCTGGAAAAATTTTGTAAAGTTGTCACTTCCATTAAAAGTGATTCACGACCACAAAACACTTCAGTCCTTCCTGGCTCCAGGGAGAAACCAACTGCATACCAGCCCCAGGTATAAAAGATGATGTAGCCTTTCTCTTCCAAGATCCATGTCTAAGCCATTGCCCTGTTTCTGATGGCTGCTCAGGCTGGAGCCCCGAAGCAGATACCGAAGAATACCAGTTGGCATAAAACTTTCTCTTTTAGCACATCCATATGCTTGGTTTAAAATACACTCATTTCCACCTTCGTGATTTTCCTATCATCCGTAAACCTCCAAAAAAGTTTTGAAGAGTAACACGAAATCACAAACGCCTTGAAAAACAAAAAGATGACAATACATTTTGGACAGGATGACATTTTAATAATAAACCTTCCTAGTTATAAAAAATTTCAGAGAAAATATGTAGGCTTCTCAATAAAATGCTGAAAGTATTCATGCTCATTGTTTAAAATGCTATTGGTGTTTTCAAGAACTAAGCCTTGCTTAAGTAAGTTGTGGTTCATCCACAAAGGAATATTCTAGAGTATTTAAAATGGCCATTACCACAAAGAGCTAACAAAATACAAAATGCTTATGATATAAATGAATGAAACTCGTAGGATATAAAATCTATACACTTAAGTTATAACTAGAGTTATACCAAAAAACTAGATGCACACAAAAAACTATGAATAGTTTTATTAGTATAGCAAGGTTTTTAAAATTCTTTTGAGACATTTCCAAAATCTCTATAATGTTATTACTTATTTCAAAATGAAAAATACATCCTTAAAAGTTTCTAGGCTGGGTGCAGTGGTTCACGTCTGTAATCCCAGTACTTTGGGAGGCCGAGGCAGGCAGATCACTTGAGCTCAGGAGTTTGAGACCAGTCTGGGCAACATGATGAAACCCCATCTCGACTAAAAATAAGAAAATTAGCTGAGTGTTGTGGTGCGTGCCTGGAATCCCAGCTACTCAGGAGGCTGAGGCAGGAGAATCGCTTGAAACTGGGAGGCGGAGCTTGCAGTGAGTAGAGACTGCACCACTGCACTCCAACCTGGGTGACAGAATGAGGCCCTGTCTCAAAAAAACAAAAACAAAAACAAAAACAAAAAAACCCCACAAAGTTTCCAAGGAGATTTTCATTTAGTTTGGGAGACAAAGACACTCAAAAAAACTACCCAAGCCAGGCACAGTGGCTCACGCCTGTAATCCCAGCACTTTGGGAGGCTGAGGTGGGCAGATCGTTTGAGGTCAGCAGTTCCAGACCAGCCTGGCCAACATGGTGAAACCATCTCTACTAAAAATACAAAAATTAGCAATGTGTGGTGGTATGTGCCTGTAATTCCAGCTACTCGTAAGGCTGAGGTAAGAGAATCGACTGAGCCAGTAAGGCAGAGGTTGTACTGAGCCAAGATCATGCCACTGCACTTCAGCCTAGGTGACAGAGCAAGTGAGACTCTGTCTCAAAATAATAACAAACAAAAAACTCTACTCAGTACAGCCATCACCACAGCGACTTCTGATGATTGTGTGGGCAGAGCTTTCAGGTCTGGAAAGGATGCTCATGTTTCAGTGAAGCCTCCCAGCAAGGCAGCTGGAATTATGATTCCATTTTAAAGATGAGGAAACTGAGTGAGCAGTCTGTCCAAAGTTGTGCAGCTCATAAATGGCAGAGCCAGTGCTCAGTCTCTGGTCTTTGACTTTCTACCTCATGGTTTGTGGAAAAACACTAAATTCTTAACAGACTGGTGGGTGGATTCCCAGAAGGGAAGCTCCCTTAAGGGACAAGACCTGGGTACATCTTGGAGGGCAAGACTGGCCTAGGCAGGAGACAGGATGGAGACGGCCCAGCTAGGGCTGGCAGCAGGATGGAGGTTGGCCCTCCTGACTAGAAAGCAGGCAGGGAGCAGAGGGAGGGAAGCCACTGCGGGTATCCTGAAGGCCAAGCTCTGTGATGGCAACTGTATCCCCCAGGATGTAAGGAGCCACCGGAGGCCTCTGATCACAATGGGATATCTCTGTTAATGTGCACCCTCTGAACTGGGGGATGGAAATGGAAGCAAGGTAATCTATTAGTCAGGAACTGCTATAAAATGTGCATCTGATAAATATGTTTCAAATGTGAGTATAAAGAGGTAAATGAGGGCACAAGTATGAGAATAATCCAGGAAGGATCAGGGATCCACGCCATCGAACATTTCTATAGCCACGTAGGGTTCATAAAATGTGGTTGCCGTGTTTCTGTGCAGCGTATGTGACCATTCCATCTCCATCTCCAACGCCAAAAACATGCACGAGACTTGCTCGAGGTCATGCAGTGAGTCAGTGGCAGAGGAGACACACATGCAGGGCTCCTGACTTCCCGTTTAGTGCATTTCCCTCTGTCCCATCCCATAGTGAGTGATAAGACTGAGGGCAGTGTGGGAGAAGGAAGGGGATGTCACAGCTGAGAGGGAAGCAGGGAAGTCGAGGTGGTGGGGAGCTCACGGGGAGTCCACCCAGCTGCATTTGAAGTAGTGGAGGGATGCCTCGTTAAGTGGGTGAAAGCACATATCAGATTTGGAGGAAAATCCAGCACTGGAAACACAGAGAGCTGCCAAGAGCCGGCGGTAAGGAAGTGAATGGAAGACGGTGGGATGGTGGGTGGAGGAGCAGGACAAAGCCAGGGAGGCGTGATCTTTAAAAAAACGTTGTTTGATTTTTTTTTTTTTTCTTAATATAGAGACAAGAGGTCAAAGGAGAGAGCAACAGAAAATTAGGTAATTTTCCTTGGAAATTTGCAAGACATAGGAGTAGATGGGATTGAGTCCGAACAGAATTTTTGTTTTTATCGGAGGCAAGGATAAGGGAGGAGGGTGGTATGATAATAGTAACTGAAATAAATGGTGGGAATATGAAGCACAGGCTGGGAAGATCACTGGACAGGATCAAACTGTGAGTTTCTGAATTTAATCTAAGAGCTTTGGCTCGAACACGCCTCCCCACCTGGCCATCAGCCTGCTGGCACCTCCCCAGCACCCACCTCTCTGCCACGTGATGGTAGACGGGTTGATGTCGAGACGGGCAAATTTACTCACTTCCTCTTCTGTCAGTGTGCTCGGATCAGTCTTATTTATTCCCAGTTTCTAATGATTAAAAAGAAAAAAGGCGAGAAGTTTGAGAAGAAATAGAAAGCAAAGGGTCACCAAAATTATCCCTCTAATTTTATTTTCTCCATGATTAGTAAAGCCTTTTAATAAACTAAACTGGCACTTTGGGAGGCCAAGGTGGGCCTATCACCTGAGGTCAGGAGTTCGAGACTAGCCTGACCAACATGGATCAACCCTGTCTCTACAAAAAATGCAAAAATTAGCCGGGCATGGTGGAGCATGCCTGCAATCCCAGCTACTCGGGAGGCTGAAGCAGGAGAATTGCTGTAATCTGGGGGGCGGAGGCTGCAGTGAGCTGAAATCGTGCCATTGCACTCCAGCCTGGGCAACATAGCAAAACTTCATCTCAAAAAACAAAACAAAACAAACCGAAACCGGGTCAGACGCGCTGGCTCATGCCTGTAATCCCAGCACTTTGGAAGGTCAAAGCAGGCGGATCACCTGAGGTCAGGAGTTCGAGACCAGACTGGCCAACATGGTGAACCCTGTTTCTACTAAAAATACAAAATTAGCCTGGCGTGGTGGTGCATGCCTGTAATCCCAGCTACTTGGGAGGCTGAGGCAGGAGAATCGCTTGAACCTGTGAGGCAGAAGTTGTAGGGAGCCGAGATCGCGCCATTGCACTCCAGCCTGGGCAACAGAACAAGACTGTCACCAAAAAAAAAAAAAAAAAAGTGATTTTTAATGATGAAGCATAAAAAAGTTCTGTGAAACAGAAACTGCATGTTGTTATAGCTGCCGAGGATGGAATTACTCACTACTTCAACACACTGAACTTGGTTCAGTAAGAGGCAGGATGTGAATTTTTAAAACCACTTAATGCCAACCAGTGGCATATACCATTTAGGGTTATTTTTTAGTCTCTGAAACAGAGCCAGTAGCAAGCAATATGATTAGAAGACCAGAGGCAGCAAATGGCAACAGAAAAAAAGATAAGACAGGTTTTAAGAATTAAGATGGCATACACAAGTAAAATTGTAGTGTTTGCTGCAACAAAAACGTAGATGAGGCTGGGCGCAGTGACTCACGCCGGTAATCCTGGCACTTTGGGAGGCCAAGGTAGATGGATCACCTGAGGTCAGGAATTTGAGACCAGCCAGGCCAACATGGTGAAATCCCATCTCTACCGAAAATACAAAAAGTAGCTGGGCACAGTGGTGCATGTCTGTAATCACAGCTACTTGGGAGGCTGAGGCAGGAGAATCACTTGAACCAGGGAGGCGGAGGTTGCAGTGAGCCGAGATCATGCCTCTGCACTCCAGCTTGGGCAACAAGAGTAAAACTCTGTCTCATAAAACACAACACAACAAAACACAAAACCATAAATGAGACAGATGAGTTTTCAAAGGTTATAATTTCCTAGAAATTTAACAAATTTCATAAAAATATTTCACTTTAGAAAGAGAAGGACTCACTAAAAATCCTAATTTGTTATTTTTTTTTAAAAGATGGGATCTTGCTGTGTTGCCCAGGCAGGCATGCAGTGGCTATTCACAAGTGCCATCACAGTGCACTATAACCTTGGCTCAAGCAAACCTCTCACAAGCAAGCATCATGAGTAGCTTGGACTACAGGTATGTATGTGCTCCTATGCCCAGCTAACTTGTCAGTTGACTAGGGTACTCATAAATTAGCAAAACAGTCCTCTCATTTCATAGATGAAGAAACTGAGACCGAAAAAGGTTAATTAATTTGTCCACCTGGCTCTTTCGAGTAGAAGGGAGTCAGGCTTCGAACACTGTGCTCTCTTTGCTCTAGTGTTCGGTCTCTATAGAGTTTAACACCCAAAAGGATATCTGAAAACCAAAATCAAATCAAGTTGAAAATTTCAGGCTTTGACAATCTTTCTGATGTGCTTCTAGGACCTTTTGTTTTTAAAGAACTGCTAACTGGAAACTTACTTTCAGCCGAGCAAGTTGAATTTCTGAAAATTCTCTGACACCATTCACTAAAGGAACCAGTCGATTATACAGAGCCTAAAAACACAAAACAAAAATGAGACCACACAAAAGTTAATCGTCCATGAACTTGGACAATTCACAGCATATGACAAAAATTCATTGCATTTATAACCAAACTATTTAGATAAAAGACCCTATTAAAATGTGTGGGCTAATATAAACAATGTTGACTTAAATTCTGTCACTTTCATAAAACTGACGAGATCTGAAATAACACACATTGCAAAGAGTTGGCATAAATATATTTCTTGATCTATATCGCTACAACTACCAAATGAAGATGTATCTGGATTATGGAGCAAAGACTCACTAAGGAACTACTTTAAGAAAGTGAGGACCCTTGTTGTAAAACATGCCAGAAAGTACCCCTTTTATCTATGTCCCATGTCTGTGAGGAATTAGCTTCTGGTGGGCTGTCCCCTTTGGGGGTGTAGTTTAACTCTTAACCTACATGCACATGAAGCCCAATAAGGGCCCCTGCCATCTTTTCAGCACATCTAAAATAGCTCCACATAACATTAGTCTAAAAATGACATCTGTCCAATCCCCTTAGAATAGATTAGAGATTGGACCTATGACCAGAATGAAGAGAACTGGTCTACCTACCATCTTTAAAACTAAGGCCTCATCTCAGAGAATGTTCGGCTTTTACAACACACTACAATTCTCCCAATAACTTGGCAGTGCCCATAAACCCATTTGAGAATCTGACCAAACGATGGCTCCTTCTCCTCAGGAAATAGGGACATATGTAAAAGTCACAAAATTGAATTGAATAACATTTCAGAGTTTGCAGACACCTGAAATCTTTCCACAAACTCCTTAAGAATCCAGGAATTCCAGGATACAATACCCAAAATGGCTAGCAAGGCATCCTTCTCACCTTATCTGTTTGTGTGTTTTCATGAAGAATCCTCGTGTCGATGGCGGCAGCCAGCAAGTTATTGGCAGCAGTGATGGCGTGGATGTCTCCAGTCAAGTGAAGGTTGAACTAGAGAAATAAGATATCTATTTACTTATTTTCAGAAATAGGGTCTTGCTTTGTCACCCAGACTGGAGTGTAGTGGCGTTATCATAGCTCACTGTATCCTCAAACTCTTGGGCTCAAGCAATCCTCTCACCTCAGCCTATTGAGTAGGCTGGGCCTATAGGTGCACACCATTGTGCCTGGCTAATTTTTGAATTTTCTGTAGAGACAGGGGTCTTCCTATGTTGCCTAAGCTGGTAATGAGCTCCTGGGCCACTGTGCCCGGCTAAGACATCTTCCTATTTGTTTTAAACAACTATGGAATTTAAGGACTGAATAAAATAGCATGCAAATTACATATCCCTATGATGAGCTGAGTCTATAGGAACGCCTAAATCAGAAAATCAAGGTCAAAGTCTTCCACGTGACAACAAAGAACCTTTGAGCAATCGCTCAGATCATAAATTCTTCCATCCTCAGGTTAAGGCAAAACATTCTGATGAATTTAATAATGAATCTCCTTATAGTCACTCACTTTACGTTTCTTCCTTGTTTTATTATCTAGAAAACAGTATCATATCAAATATACTTTGGAATGAAGCAGGGCATAAAATAAATGGTAACAATAAAATAATATGAAATATCACAGAATTTTGGAGAAATAAAGTATTTTACCCTCATGACTCTACTCATTTTGTTATTTTCCTTCCAGTCTCATGAGCACACATGATTATCACGTGTAGAATCAGCTTCCTACAAACTTCCAAGTTTCCTTTTTCACAAAACTTTTTCTATAATCATCTTGTGTATAATTTATAGAAGCTGTATATGGTAGATGTACCAAAAGTTTCAGGCAGGATACATATGCTACTACCAAACGTTCACTTTTACAAGGAAGGCCACAGTTACAAAGAATACACACAAATAGCTTTTCCTTTTTTTAAAAAAATTAATTGCTAATGAGTAATATATTTTCAGGAGAGTAGTTACTAGGTTAAAAGAGCTCTCTTTCTTTTCGTTTTTTTTGTAGAGATGCAGTCTCACTATGTTGCCCAGGTTGGTCTCAGACTCTTGGGCTCAAGTGATCCTCTTGCTTCAGCCTCCCAAAGTGCTAGGATTCCAGGTGTGCGCCACCGCACCCAGCCCTTGGGATCTTGATAATATCACCAAATTGCTTTTTGAAAGGGATGAAGTATTTTTGTTTTATTTTTTTTTTTTTTTTGAGATAGAGTTTTGCTCTTTCACCTAGGCTGGAGTGCAGTGGCATGATCTCGGCTCACTGCAACCTCTGCCTCCGGGTTCAAGCAATTCTCTTGCCTTCTGAGTAGCTGGGACTACAGGCGCCCGCCACCATGCCTGGATAATTTTTGTATTTTTAGTAGAGATGTGGTTTCACCATGTTGGCCAGGCTGGTCTTGAACTCCTGACGTTGTGATCCACCCGCCTCAGCCTCCCAAAGTGCTGGGATTACAGGTGTGAGCCACTGCACCTGGCCATTGGGATCTTGATAATATCACCAAATTGCTTTTTGAAAGGGATGAAGTGTCATCCACAAAACACTAGTAGTAGATCAGTTACTTCAGAAATAAAGTAACTTTTAGACTAAGAAATAATTTAATAGTTGACAAAGTGTTATTCTTTTTAAGCTGCATTTCCTTAATTTCTTGGAAGGTTAAATATTTTCTTGTTAAAATTTTACTTTATAACATAAAATAATGCTAACTGGAGAAAACATGAAAAATTACATATGTGTATATATATATATTTTATAAATATATATTTATACTTTTAAATGTTGGAATCATAACACCATAACAGTTTACACTTTAGCTCTTCCACTCTCAATATAGCTAGCATTTTTACATCATTAAATAGTCTTCAAAATATAGTTAACTTGAGGTCCTATTATTATCCCCCCATTTTTTAATGTTATAAACTATGTGAGGGTATATTTAATTTAAAATGATCTATTTTCTCATATATTCATTTTTTCCTTAGGGTGCACTAAAAATGAATTTATTTGGGCCAAAGGATATGCACGGTAAAGTACTTAATATGTATTTCTACCCTTCTCCCAGAAGTGTTTTTATCAACATACACTTCCCAGCAGTGTGTGGGAGTCCATTTCAATTTCTTTGCCAATATTTGGTATCATAACTTTTTTGAAAAATCCAATTTTGTCAACTTGACAAGTAAAATGGTAACTGATAGTAGTTTTAGTTTTATTTATTTATTTATTTAGAGATGGAGTCTCGCTCTTGTTGCCCGGACTGGAGTGCAGTGGCGTGATCTCGGCTCACTGCAACCTCTGCCTCCCAGGTTTGAGTGATCCTCCTGCCTCAGCCTCCCGAGTGGCTGAGATTACAGGCGCCTGCCACCACACCCAGCTTATTTTTGTGTTTTTATTACAGACGGGGTTTCCCCATGTTGGTCAGGCTGGTCTCCAACTCCTAACCTCAGTGATCTGCCGACCTGGGCCTCCCAAAGTGCTGGGATTACAGGCGTGAGCCACCGTGCCCGGCCTGATAGTGGTTTTAATGTAGATTTATTTACTTGATGATTGGTGAAGATGAATATGCATTTAGTTAATATTTCTTTTCTGATGTTTCTATTGAACCCTTTGGCCATTTCACAACTGGAAGGTAAGTTTTTCTTTCCAGCCGTCTACTTGATGTCCACCTGCATGTTTCACAGGCCTTTATACTGACTCCCTCCTTCTGACTACCACCCTCCACCACACCCCACACTACACAGTTCAAACCTTATACCATCACTCTCCTGTTCTCTGCCTCAACAAATGAGTCTACTGAGTTGCTCAAGCCAGTACCCTGGATGTCGTCCTTGAATCCTCCCCTTTTCTCACCCCCAACATCTAATCCTGCACACACCAGCAAACAAACCTTAAACTGTTTTTTCCTCTTTTCCATCCTCACTGCCCCATCCTAGGCCAAGCCACTGCCATCTTTCCCTGGGCTACTTCCATAGTCTTCCTCCTGGATTCATCGTGTCTACTGAGAGGCCCCTGGTCCCTTCATCACACAGAAGAGAGGGTGATTTTAATAAAACTCAATCTGCATTGTGTTATCTGTCAAGATCCCTTCAATGGCTGACCTTGGCACTTCAAATAAAATCCAGGTTCTTGGCTACAAATTGCAATTACCCAACAGAGCTGGCGCCTGCACACTTCTCTACCTCAACCCCCCAACTCCCGCTGGCCCACGGGGCCCCAGCCAGCCTGGTGTCCTCCACTTCCCTGAACAGGTCACACCCTTTCCTGCCTCAGGGCTTTCCCACCAGCAGTTCCCACTGACTGAATGCTCTCCCTCATTCTTCACAAGGCTGGCTCCTTCTCATCCTTCCAGTCACAGTGTTTTCACTTTCAATTCCTCAGTCCATCTGGAATTTATTCTAACATTTTCCCCTATGGTGATTTATTATGTTCTGTCCAGTACATATTGTCTGTGCCTGGCACTCAGTCAACAAACATCCCCTAAGTGTCAGGCATAGTGCTCAGAGTTGGGAGGATACAGACGAAGAAGAGACTGGAGGCACTCAACTTCAAGGAACAAACTTGCCCGAGTGTGTCTGGCCCACTCCACCCTCATAAAGTAATCCTCTTGGCCAGGCGTGGTGGCTCACGCCTGTAATCCCAGCACTTTGGGAGGTGGAGACGGGTGGATTACCTGAGGTCAGGAGTTCAAGACTGGCCTGACCAACACGGTGAAACTCTGTCTCTATTAAAATACAAAAATTAGCTGGGCATGGTGGCAGGCACCTGTAATCCCAGCTTCTCGGGAGGCTGAGGCAGGAGAATCACTCGAATCTGGGAGGCAGAGGTTGCAGCGAGCCAAGATCGCACCATTGTGCTCCAACCTGGGTGACAGAGCGAGACTCCATCTCAAAAAATAAAATAAAATAAAATAAAATAAAAAAGTAGCTCTCTCCTCCAAGCCACATAGCTGATGCCTTAAACCAGTGGGACACCAATGTCCTTCCAATTTGCTGGCTAAACCCGAGCCATTCCCCTGTGTATGCCCCTTGTATGCCACCTCTAATTTGGCCTCCTGGTTCTGGGTCTGGCTTGTGAATGTACCCATCCCCATTCTGACCTGAGGCCCGGGACGATTTTTCTCAGCAGTGCCTCGGACTATTCTTTCTCACTGCTACTCCCAGTACTTGAAGTTTATACTGATTTTCTCTTTAGCTTCCCTGACACTCAGACCTCCCTGGGTAAACACTTCCATTCCTTTAACAAAGTCAACAAATACTTTCTAGTGAGTTCCTACTATGTGCTGGGTACTCTGCTCAATGCTGGGACCTGAGACCTCAAGAAAGGCCCACGACTCGCCACAGCCAACTGAACCAGATAGCCATAAACACAGAGGGAGTCTGTGGGGTAGAGAAGAACCTTGACAAAACCCCTAAGCTGGGTAAAGAGGACAGAAAAGGAAGAATGTTCCAGGCATGGGAAAATCCTGGAACCGAGAGAGAACAGGAAAAGAGTCTGCAAGGGCTGGGCACGGTGGCTCACGCCTGTAATCCTAGCACTTTGGGAGGCCAAGACCAGCGGACTGCCTGAGCTCATGAGTTCGAGACCAGCCTGGCCAACACGGTAAAACCCCATCTCTACCAAAATACAAAAAATCAGTCAGGCATGGTGGCAGTTGCCTGTAATCCCAGCTACTCAGGAGAATGAGGCATGAGAATTGCTTGAACCTGGGAGGTGGAGGTTGCAGTGGGCCGAGATTATGCCACTGCACTACAGCCTGAGCAACAAAGTAAAACTCTGTCTCAAAAAGAAAAAAAAAAAAAGTCCGTAAGGAGCTTGACGCGGTAGAAAGAAGGCAGGCCGGGACCTGTGGACAGGGAAGCAAGAGCAGCCGCCCACGAGGACCTCCTGTGCTGTGCTGGAGGGTGACAGGCAACGGCAGAAATGACAGAACAGGAAAGTGACCTGCTCAGATTTGGGTTTTGGAAGATTGCCCAGGCCCTGAATGATGAAGTGGATGCAGACAGTGGAAATGAAAAGAACTGGTCCCTGGTTAGTTACAGGCGACAAAGAAGAGGTTATGCGGAACGAAGGGGGAGTTCTTAGAGAAGTGGGAATTAACAACATCAGGTCTTTTTGCCCATTTTCCTCTGGAACTCTTTTATTTTGGAGTCTTTTGTTTTTAATGGGACACTTCACAAATTTGTGTGTCATCCTCGTGCAGGGACCATGCGAATCCTCTCTGTGTCATTCCGGTTTTAGTATCTGTGCTGCCGAGGCACACACTGGAGCCTGAACTGACAGAGGGGAAGCGTGAAGTCTTCGTGAACTCGGCAGTACAGCAGATGATCGAGAGAGGCACAGACCCACATTCTCTCATCCAGACCCGCAAGACCAGCAGGGTTTTAGGGTTCAGAATATTTTGGAGTTTAGGAAGGCAGTATGATTTACATGTAGTTTATTTGTAAAACACCCCAAGCAGGGGCTAGGTCAGCACCTGTTAATCAAAAATAATTTTTCTACAGCAATGTATGTGAATATTCACGCCAAGTAGCACATACAAAATCCATATAATTATAGCTCATCACAGTCAATACTAGGGTTTGCCACTGCGTGAGTTATGCAAACATTTTGGGATTTCAGAGCCTTAAGGACTTTGGGATCGTGGAGGAGGGTCTGTGGGCCTGTGTGGATGGGAGCAGAGACAAGATGTCAGAAGGAGACACAGTGATAGCTCACCGGCATCTCTTCAAGGTCTTACCTCCTCCATGGGGATGACCTGGGCGTATCCACCACCCGCGGCTCCTCCTAAACAACAGAGCAAGCGGCATTTCAAATGGGTCACCAAGTACAGCTGCCACGATGGACACAGCCCAAGGGACACAGCTCCCCAAACCCAACAGAGAGGCGTCACACCCAAGATGAAGTAACAAAAAGCAGTGAGAGACACTAATGGTTATATCCAAGCAGAATAGAAAAAAAAAAAAAAGTTGACACTTTAACTATACCTCTGTTTCTTTGCTTAAAAAAAAAAAAAAGGTAAAAATAGAGATGTCATTACTGTAAAACATACCAGGATATGAGAATATTTTGTTAATTTATTATTAGATCTCTGTGACTATATTTTATCTAAATCAATTGTACATGATTTCATATCTGAGAAAACTTTGTTTAAAAAAAATACACTGTGGCTGGGCGAGGTGGTTCATGCCTGTAAACCCAGCACTTCAGGAGGCTGAGGCGGGTGGATCACTTGAGGTCAGGAGTTCGAGACCAGCCTGGCCAAAATAGTGAAACCCCATCTCTATTAAAAATACAAAAATTAGCTAGGCATGGTCCCGGGCGCCTGTAGTCCCAGCTACTTGGGAGGCTGAGGCAGGAGAATCACGTGAAACTGGGAGGCGGAGGTTGGAGTGAGCTGAGATTGCACCATTGCACTCCAGCCTGGGCGACAGAGAGAGACTCTGTCTCAAAAAAAAAAAACAAAACAAAAACCCACCGCATAACCACCTCAAATGAATAAATTATAAACTTCAATTTATTTCAGATAATAGTATGTGAGATTTGTCATGCTGCATAGCCCTAAAAATGTTGGTTGTTAGAGTAAAAGGACTCCTCTTTCCTAAAGCAGTAACAGCACCGCCCATGTGTGTATCATTTGGCAGTAGCCCTCATTTTTTACCTGCTTTCTCATTTGATCCTCTCAACAACTGGGTGAGCCTGGTGCCGCTCTCAGCATTTTGGACTTTTAGAGATGCGGCTCCGAGAGGCTGTGACTGGCTCAAGTGGTCAAGGGTCACATTGCGGTAGGAAACACAGCTGTGACCAAAACCTCGGCCTCCTCACCCCAACCCTAGTGTTCATTCCGCTACACGATGCATGACACTTTGAGTTACCAGTACTTAACGAGATACGTTTTTAATATGTGTAACAGTAATAGAAATATAATATTCTTAAAAAATCATGAAGTGCCAAAGACAAACTGTAATTGCAGCAATAAATACCATTGTAAAGTGAGTTAAGGAATGATTTCATGACAAATCAAGGAAGAAAGAGTAACAAATGGGAAAGTGCCAGATCCCAGCCCAACCACAGCCAAAGAGGAATTTCATCACAACTCGCCGTCCACAGCCAGTCCGTCTCCAGAGAGCTCTGCGGGCCCCACACAGCAACTCCAGTGAGCCGAGACTAAAGCAGAGGGAAAGACCTTTTCCGAGACTGGGATGATCAAACACCGATATGGATGGCCGTGTTTCAAGATCACTTGGCAAAGAAGGTCCTGATGAAATGGGAGACTGCACTGAGGTGGGAGCCTTGAGCAACACAGCCTCAGGAACCGGCTCCCGAGGCATCCAGTGAAGCCCTGGCAGCTCCCACTGCTCACTTCCATGCGCAGGGGGACCAACGTGGGGCGACCACTATGTACTGAGTGCGCAGCGAAGAAATGTATCAAGTCCCCTGAAAAGTCTTAACTCTTTATCTGTTGACAATGTTCTTTTTACAATTTGCTCCCCCCAACTTTGCCCTGAAAAGTACACTAGTTGTTAAAGACAGTACCTTTCACTCCAAACGTTGGTCCTTGGGAAGGCTGCCTCAGACAGGCAAAGGAGTTGACATTCAGGTGTGCAGTCAGCGCCTGCACAAGCCCAATAGTAACTGTGCTCTTCCCTTCTCCAAGAGGGGTGGGTGTAATCCTGAGTCCGGGAGGAGAAAGTGAATTTTATAATATTTCCCAGACAATCAATGCAAAACCAGCCTAAGACACTAGAATCAAATCTGGGGGTGCTCATTCCAAAATGTACTCCAGAATTTAATTTCTCAGGCTATTATGGTCTACCCCATCACACAGGCCAGGCATAAGCTAAAGTCAAGATACAGACACACCTTTACCAAGAGACCAAAAAGGAAAAGTTATTGGGCAGTGCTAATAACAACATCAATTTCAAGAAAGGCCATAAAACCATTTGTCAAAACGGTTTAAATAATTAAGCTGATGGTGGCATATCTTGCCAATGAGTATGTAGCACTTGTTCTTCCTGAGCCATTTATTGGGGCAGGGTGTGGGCACAGGGCCTATGGTGTGGGCACAGGGCCTAGCTCAATGGTCGTTGGGTGAGTAGGGCACTGCCAGACTCTCAGGATTAGAAGAGACCCTGAAGTCCCCACTTGTCCTTCTCCTTCCAGATATCCCTGCCCAGGGCTTCTCCCTGCCATGCTTGAACACACATGGTGATAAGGTCATGACCTCCGGGGTGGCCCACTCATTTCCAGACAGCTGTTATAGTTCGAAAGTTCTTTGTTCTAAAGAGAAGGCATCTGCATTCTTGTTGTATCCTACCTCTTGGAGTCCTACACACTAAGCCTGATCCCTTTCCATATGACAGTCCTTCAAAGAGCCAAAAAGTCCACAGCCCCTGTGCATACTACGGCGGAAACTTCTGCTCTTGAGAAGCTTATTGCTGATGACAACACTTTGCAAAACCAAATGTTCCCATGTTCATAACATCACAGTATTAGGTGTTGAAGAGAGCCTATTACATTAGTAAGTAAGGCCTCATAAAATTGTTCTTTAGAACACCATAAGCATCGTTAAAAATTTTAAAGGCTGTCATTTAGGTTTGCAATTTGGTCTTCCATGAGTTACTGTGAGCCACGTTGTCAAGGATACCCAACCACAACAAATCTAATAGAGTTTTCTAACCTACAAAACCTAGGGATGTAACCGCAAAGAAGGAATGTCTTTAGAGGCGTCATCGCACCCTGCAATTCCATGAGTCATTCATTCAGCAAGTATTTATCAAGTACTGCTATGTGCCAGGCACTGAGCTAGACCCTGGGGACACAATGATGACCCAGTCAGACTCCATCTCTACCCTCACAAGCTTCCAGCTGATCTGAATACATCAGCAGTTATGATAACTGCGACAAACACTAAGACAGGGAAATAGGGCAGTCAGACTGAATTATGAGGGGACATGGAAAAAGGATCTAACTAGATTTGAACATCTGGGAATGTTTCCTGTAGGAGGTAACATCTTAGGTGAGACCTGACAAATTAATAAATGTTAACCAGATAAAACTCAGAGTGGATTGGGGCAGTTAATAGGAGAGGTGATACGCTTCATATTTATGGGGTTAATTATTTGTACCCTCACTTGATAGATGAGGAAACTGAGGAACAGAGTTTAAGCAACCTGCCCACAGTCACACAGCTAGTAAGCAGCAGAGCTGGGAGGCAAAGCCAGCCATCTGACTTACCCAGGTTCTCCATGGATGGAAATCATAACTATAATTAGCCATTTAAAGCATGGAATGGGTAAGATCACCCAAGGACAGTGCAGCAAGTGACAAAAGCGATAAGGACAGAAGAGTTAAGTACATTTGCTTGTAATGAGTTGTCAGAAGAAGAGAGTCCAAAAGGAAACTAGGAAGGCATAGTATAAAATAAGAGAACCCGGCTGTGTGCAGTGGTTCATGCTTGTAATCCTAGCACTTTGGGAGGCCAAGGTAAAAGGATTGCTTGAGCCAGGGAGTTTGAGACCAGCCTGGGTAATATAGTGAGACCCTGTCTCTAAAAATACAAAAAATAAAAAATAAGAGGACCCTGGAGAAGAAGGCCGAACACGATAGGAAGTCTCAGAAGGAGGCCAAGGATAAGACTGTTTCCAGAACAGGAAACTCAAACGCCACTGAGGCAGGAAGCAGGATGAGGACCGAGAGTGGTCGGTGGATTCAGCAAGAAGGAGGTCGCTGGTACCTGCTGTGGCCAGGAGCTGGTGAGCCTATCCTGACACTGCTGCATGGAAGAAACCTAAGACTCCTGAAGCCACACGACCCTGGCTTATCAGTCACCTCTGCATCTGTCTAAATAGCAGATTTGCAGTGGGGTCCACGTGAAGACTGAATGTTATACAAAGATATTAATACTTCTGCTCGGGGTCAACTTTCTGTTTTCTTTGATACAACATCAATAAGGGCAGTTAAAAGCCCACAGGCATCACAATCTTAGAAGAGTCTGAAAAGAAATTGTGGCATCAAATATGGTGTCATTTAAGTACCGTACTGAGCATTTGTTGTTTGCAAAGGACTAAGTGGTTTACCTAAACTGTGTCACATGAAGGATTACATTTTCATTCCCAGGGATATGCAAGCATAGCTGCCCAGGAAAGCCAAAAACAGACACGCCCAGAGATGACCTCCTCAAAACTCCAGCTAACCATCCAATTCTTAATTAGAAACACAGGACTGCTCAGCTTTCGGCCAACTAATACAATTCAGGAAAATCACAAAGTAGGAAGTATTTATTGGGAGCAATAAAAGGAGAGCTACAATAAAAAACAACTAATTTCACCTCCTTCCTGCGTTTGGTATCAAAATTTGGTTCAGTTTTTCCCCCAGTATCTTTAGCTCAGATTCCAAATCATCAACAGTGATATAGAAAAGAATGAGCACCAAGGTAATCTAATTTCTCTTTCTTTTTCTCTTTTCTTTCTTTTCTCCTTTCTTTCTTTCTTGCTTTCCTCTTTCTTTCTTTATTTCTCTCCTCTCTTTCCTCCTCTCCTCTCCTCTCCTCCCATCTCCTCTCTTCTCACTGCAACCTCCACCTCCCGGGTTCAAGCAATTCTCCTGCCTCAGCCTCCTGAGTAGCTGGGACTACAGGCATGTGCCACCACACCCGGCTAACTTTTGTATTTTTAGTAGAGATGGGGATTCACCACGTTGGCCAGGCTGGTCTCAAATTCCTGACCCTGTGATCTGCCCGCCTCAGCCTCCCAAAGTGCTAGAATTACAGACACGAGCCACTGCGCTGGGTCCTCTAATTTCTTTTTCTATGGGAGCTTAGAGTTCATAGAGATGGAACTGTGATTTTTGTTCATTACCTTCCTCCACTTCTCCCGGCAGATTTCTGTACTCCCTCCCTGATATCTAGAGCATTGATTACTTGATTATTCTAGAATTTTTCAGATGGCTTCATGATAAGCATTCTGACGTGCCTGTCTCACCTACCAGGCCACACACTTGCTGAGGTAAAGGACAATGCTCACCCTCTTTGCACCCCTATCACATCACCTGTTCAGGGCACAGACCAGCAAAAAAGGGTTAATGAAATGACGCTTTTTTTTTTTTTTAGATGGAGTCTCACTGTGTTGCCCAGGCTGGAGTGCAATGGTGTGATCTCTGCTCACTGCAACCTCCGCCTCCCAGGCTCAAGCAATTCTCCTGCCTCAGCCTCTTGAGTAGCTGGGATTACAGGCACCCGCCACCACGCCCGGCTAATTTTTGTATTTTTAATAGAAACCAGTTTCACCATGTTGGCCAGGCTGGTCTCAAACTCCTGATCTCAAATGATCCGCCTGCCTTGGCCTCCCAAATGTTGGGATTACAGGTGTGAGCCACCATGCCCTGCCAGAATGATGTCTTTTTTAAGATGAGTATTATTTATTGGCAGCTACAGAAAGAATTGTCAAAGTACCCGTGACCATTTGGACACAATCTGAAAACAAGTTTATAATTTACTCAAAGGTCAAAAAGATGGCTTATCCAGAGAGAAGTGGTAAAACTTTGAACTATTCTGAAGACCCAGAATCTTGTTGAATGGTACCACTGCCATTAGCCATAGGCCTAACCATGCACTCCAAAACTACATGCTCAAGTAGCATATGAACATAAATCATCCATTCCAGGCAGCTTCAGGGTCTAGGAGGTTTTCAAAGCCTTTTATTATCTAACAGTAAACTCCATGGTGCATTTGGTGATGTTTCTCATTACACTTGACTTAGGTAAACGGTTCAAAGGCCCTGTGGGAAGTGGTTTCTTCTAAATACCTCTGTTTCGTTCTGGAAATAGCACAAATAAAAGAAAATCTCACAGATATTTAAATAGTTACTCAAGGCAGGAAAGCAAAATCTTAGAAAAGTCAGATTATTTTTACGTTGTACCAAAATAAAGGGTTGAAACATTTTTTAAAAAATCCAATCAGGTATTTGGCCCTCTGCAGAAAAAAAAAAAAAGATGAAATGATGTGAATGATTCAAATTTTTCCTTTTCTTTAATGTGAAATTCAGTCTATTCCCAGATCAGTTTGGGCTTCCTTTTTAGCTGCTCTGTCCAACCAATTCAGGGAAATTCTAGAAACTTCTGCACAGAAATGGGTGCAGGCCTGATGGAGACTGAGATTCAAATGCCCTGCAGCTGCACTCCAAGTCAAGTTCTCAAACAAAATTCCTTTTCATTAGTGTAACTGGGAAAATATGTAAAACTCATGAGTCCCTAAGATTCTTTTGGCGTATTTCCCTGAACAATTCCCAATACTTTTCATTTTGTCAGGCAAAGCAAATAAAGTGATGTGTAGGTGTAAATACCATGCGATGTGTAGTTGATGAAACGCAGATGATTCTGACTGAATAAGAAATCCTAAGGTTTGAAGAATGGCTTTTTAAAAGACTTAATCTGTTCTGCATTTGAGTTATTAATAATAGAAGATTTTTAAAAATCTCATTGTTTTATATTTTAATCCCATTGGTGATATATTTAAATCATATTTCTATATAAATTCAAATATATAATAACAAATATATTGTTATTTAGTTTTATTTAAAAATTACTTGGGTATTTGAATTCTTCTAAAGCATGGAAAGAGATTTATAGTGTTCAGAAAAAAGGACAAAAATGGTATTTATAGCATGATCTCAAAGTGTAAAAAGATAAATGTATAAATAAAATATTGACTTCTGAGAGACTTAGCTATCTCCTTTTTACTTTTCTTTATGTTAAATTTTTTACAATAAGCTAATATGATTTTCAGAATTAGAAAAGACTTATAGAAAAAGGAAATAATTCTCCATTTAAAGGAGGGGTCATTTATATTTTTAAAGAAGTTGCAACAGTGCATATAATGGTTTGATAATGTCACTTCCCCCTAACGCTTGACCTGGTCAAATGTAAAAACATGAAGGTGATTTTTATTTCAAATTAACTTTTCACTTTAGATTACAAATGTTGCTTTAAGCCAGTGCTGCTTTTTGCTGTTTGTTTGTATTTTTTAAAGATCTATGCTGCTCAGACTGGTCTTGAACTCCTGGCCTCAAGTGATCCACCCACCTCAGCCTCCCGAGTAACTGGAATATAGGCACAACCCACCATGCCAGGCCCACTTTAGACTATAGATAAAATATTTGCCTGTGGTCTGAACTGATCTCAGTCATTCAGCTATTAAAGGATTAGATACTGATGACAGTTTACAGCCCTAAAAAATATATCATTTGTTGTGTTGGGGAGAAGGAGCTGTTCATTCTTCCCTTATAGAATCCAGTACGGCTATTTCCTAAAACTCTTCAAGCTCTGTCACGAATGCATACATATATCATAGTCTTACAAGCACGGTTATTTTTTCCCAATATGGTTAAAAAAAAAAAGAAGCCATTTAATTTTGTTCCTTCAAAGGTCTTTGTTAGGTAAAGAAACTTCTATCAGAATTTCAGAAAAATAATTGTTGATCCTTTGGTGTTTACTCTGTTCTTGAAAATTCATGTTTAATCTTCTTTTTTATTTACAACATGGCAGGCCAATTTCAGCTCAATTATACATATTAATGCTAGCAAAGAGCCAATGTGGAGAAATGTTCTACTGGCCATGGACCGCATTGGCTGCAACCCCAGGCAGCCGTGCTAGCTAGCATTCTCCAGCATGAGGCTGGAGGCCCAGCTTTGTTTACAAGTAAGGAGCCTGACAACAATACCATCACAGATTTGTTTTAGAAGTATCAGTTTTGTGTTCCAAGGTAAGATCAGGGCCATCCATGTCTGGATTTCTGATTTTATTGACAAGCCCCAAATGGAATAAAGCAGAGGGACTGGATAAGAAAATCTGCTGCAGGATTATTCCTTCATAAACAGACAACACATCCCACCAAGTTTTCCTTAAGTGTTCCTATCTAGACAGGGTGAGAAAACCTGCAAACCCACCTACCAAGATCACCCGAGGCCTGGAAGAAGGGAACCAGTTCCACAAATCAAATGCTGTGTAAAGGTCTTGTCATGGCCAAGAGTTTGTTTATTCATTGTAAACAAATATGCATCAAGCATACTGCCATAAAAGCAACCCTGACTAAACTGTGCCCCATACACGGAGACCCCAGAGCCAATCTAACCAGAGGCAGCTCCTTGCAGGGTTTGGGCCCAGAGGGTGCCTGCAGGTGGAGCCAACCCCTCCCCTCAGCAAGGAACTTTTCCACACTCGATTATGGGGACATTAAGTTTGGGGTTCTAGGATGGAAAGGGCCTCAGGAATCTAACTGCAGTGAGCCTGGAAGCCTGAGGGAGAAGGGTGAAGCCACAGGCAACCAAGGTGTGCAGCAAAGGATGAATTCCTTACAACGCCAACTGCTGAGGGATTCTGAGATGCCCTGGCTGTCTGTCCCTCTTACAAAAATATCTACAGAAGCTGGGCAGGATGGCTCATACCTGTAACCCCAGCACTTTGGGAGGAGGAGGCGGGCGGTTCCTCCTGACCAGCTGAGGCCAGGAGTTCAAGGCCAGCCTGGCTAACATGGCGAAACCCCATCTCTATAAAAATACAAAAAAAGTGAGCCAGGCATGGAGGTGCACGCCTGGAATTCCAGCTACTCAGGAAACTGAGGCACAAGAATTCCTTGAACTCAGGGGGTGGAGGTTGCAGTGAGCCAAGATCACAGCAGTGCACTCCAGCCTGGGTGACTTTGTCTCCAAAAAAAGAAAAGAAAAGAAAAGCTACACAAAGAGAAGGAGAAAGAGGAGAGGAAAGTGGGAAAGGAGGCGGGAAAAGGGATTTGAAGAAATCACTATATCATTAAAGAGGTGATATTGTTTTGGATGATATTGTTGCTTTATTTGTAGTTATAAATAATTGAATTCACCTCTGGAGATTTTTCCTAAGCAGATAATTAAGCAGATGCACAAATCCACATGCCCAAGGTTGTTAATTCTAGCAGTTTAAAATGGCAAAAATTGGGAACACTTTAATTGCCTATCAATAGAAAATTGGTCGGATAAGTTGTGGAACATCCCTATTCTATGTTCAAATTATTTTTCTGCATCGACGCCCTTGAACGATTAGAAACACTCAGTACTACCAGTGGCTGAGCCAGGGCAGCACATATTGATGGAACTAGAGGTACCAGAAGATGTGTAAGATGGGATCTCCACCCTCATCCTGGGCATTTTTGCTACTCCCCCAGCCCCTGCTTCCCCAACACGTTTAAGAATCTGGGATGTGGCCAGGTGCGGTGACTCATCCCTGTAATCCTAGAACTTTGAGGGGCCAAGGCAGGTGGATCACTTGAGGTCAGGAGTTCGAGATAAGCCTGGTCAACATGGTGAAACCCCATCTCGACTAAATACACAAACATTAGCTGGGCATGGTGGCGCATGCCTGTAATCCCAGCTACTCGGGAGGCTGAGGCAGAAGAATCGCTTGAACCCGGGAGGCAGAGGTTGCAGTGAGCCGAGATCACGCCACTGCACTCCAGCCTCGGCAACAGAGCGAGACTCTGTCTCAAAAAAAAAAAAAAAATGAATCTGGGATGTGAGTGATAGAATGTTATGTTGTCATGAAAAATGGTAATATAGCTCAATATTCACTCACATGGAGCTCAGTATGCCACATATGCTCGAATAATCAGGTTGCTTACAGAATAGCATGCGAGTGTGATCTCATGGCTGAGACTCTAGCAGCATCACAACAGTCCTTGCAGGCCAATAGTTGTTTCCTCTGAGTGCTTGGGTTTGGGATGTTTTACTTTTTTACTTCTGTTTTCTGAATTTTTAGAATATTTTCACAATGAAACTACATTGTTTTTATAACCAGAAAAAGAAATAAAGAAAAAAGCACTTATATTAATAATTAAATATGTAAAAACAAATTACCTAGGAGTCAATTCCGGTTACAAGAAATGTCTCTGCCTGACAAACAGGTTTTTGTGCCTGAAGCCTTGGCCTATACATCATAAGCAATAGTCACTGAAATGAAATTTCAAGGCAACAAAGGAATTTATATGGTCTCACGATGTTCCCTCAGGTCACATTGAATAAATATTTGAAATCCCTTGCTTTCTATCATCTTTTCAGCTAGTGAATGTACTTCTTTTTTTAAAAAGAAGAGGAAAAAAGCAAACACTCCTTTTCATAAAAACTATCAATTTGTCTTTTATAAAATAACCAACACAAGTGAAAATGGCTCAACACTAGTTCTGAAATGCAGAAGAAGGCAAATAATGAGCTTTTGTAATGTGAATATATCAGTAAGATCAAGGATATTAACAGGAAAACATGTTTCATACGATTATCTGTACCTTTTCCATTAAAATATTTCAAGTAGAATGCACAAAACAAACTGCTGAGTTCAAAATATTTTACTTTCAATTCCTATCTTGATTTTTATAATGAAAAATGAAATTAAAAAAGCCAAGGGGGAGCAGGGGTAATAACAACATAATATGAGAAACAAAAGATAAAGCACTGCAACTTGTTTGACTTTATATTTTGTAGAGTCAACTAATTTGCTCTGCACTGAAAATAAACACTTACCTCACACCAAATAAAGAAATGCCAGATGAAATGGACAAAATGTCAAACGTGAGAATAGGATGGATTGAGGGGTACAAGGACAAGTGTACAGGGAATAGTTTTGTAAAGATGTCTGCTTGGTCAAGTGGATGTTACATGGTGTCTTACCCAGCAACTAAGACGTATTTCCCATCTGCTTGATTCTTTAACCTTTCTAGCACGGACAAACGTACTTTGGCTTTGCTTTTGCCATAGATTTCAATTTCATCTGCAAGCAATCCAATCTCCTTGGCAAGGACATCCACAGCTTTTGGAGTTTGTCCTCTTGAAATCTCAATGTCACTGAGGGGAAAGACAACACAAAAGAGAGAAGAGGCTTCTCAGCTTAGGTGGTCGTAACTGGAGTGAGAACAGCCTCACATCACGCCAACAATGAAATCAATGCAATTGCTTTGGGGTCCTTTCTCCCAGGCAGTAATAAGCACAACTGCTAACAATTAATGTGTATGAGAAAATGGTGCCTCATGGTAGAAATGCAACTCCAAAAAACTCACAAAGATCTTAAACTTGTGTCCAGGTGGAAGTATAACACCTATGGCATACAGAGAAGAACTGTGTATTATAATGTGTTCAAAGCCCTCCTGCAAGTGTGATTCCACTACAGAGCAAATGCTGTGTGGGCATCACGGTATTCATTAGCCATGAATAGAGAGCCATTGCATAATAATCTCCGACTGGGCTGGCCACATGTTTCTCTTGGCTATTCAAAAATGTGAATACTACTATCACATTAGAGATTAAATACAAAAAAAAAGAAAAAATGTGGAAATGCTATTTTGTTTTATCTGTGTCCACACTTCCCCTCTCTCTATTTACAGTCTAAAACCATATTTCAAAATATTTTATTAATTACATAACTGTCGGTACAAGGACCTAGTGCCCTGAGCCCAAGTTCAGACAGGAAATTGTAGGAACTCCAGAGTGTCACTGGGCACCTAACTGAACTCTTCTATTTTACTGGCCACCACTGCTTGTCTTACAGGAGTGGTCTGGATACCAGCATGTGTAATGCTGGACTCTTCAGGAGGAGCCCCCTCTGGGGCTCATGTACTCAGTCATTTCCTTGCTGGGGAGTCAGGCCCTTCATGTGTCTGAGAGTGAGAGATGGAAGGCACACCTGTTCCCTCAGCAGCAAGACTAACTCAGGGAGACCACGCAGCAGGGAACTGCCCTTAAAGGTTGCATCAGAGAGGACAGCTATTCCTTCACTCACCCCGGGACACTTATTTTTGTTGTGATCTGCTTTCTTTCGGTGGGCAGATCAACCCCCTCAGTGGACTTTAGTCAGCCCCTTGGCCCTGTTTCTGTAGCTACAGCGGGCAATCTACCCTCAGTGTTCAGACCACCCTAGACTCTCCTCCAGGATCCTGTGGGGGCCTGACCTGGGGTAAGAGGTAACAGCAAACACACCTCCACCCAGATTTCTCCAAAGGGCACCACAGAAACTAGGAGTTCAGGTAATCCCCCCACGGGCCGCTGAGTATCCCTTTCCAGGCCTCCACCCATCCAACCTTTCCTTTCTAGCCTCCTACTTTGTTTTGCCTTCCTGGCCATAACTTTTTTTCTGTCTCTCTCTTCCCACAATCTCCTAAATTGAAGAGCTTAATCTTGAAAAATGTGTAAGCTTTTGGCAGGCCGCAGTGGCTCACACCTATAATCCCGGCACTTTGGGAGGCCAAGGCGGGAGGATCACTTGAGTCCATGAGTTTGAGACCAGCCTGGCCAACACAGTAAAATCCCGTCTCTACTAAAAATACAAATAAATTAGTCAGGTGTGGTGGTCGCACCTGTAGTTTCAGCTACTCGGGAGGCTGAGGCAGGATAATCACTTGAACCCGGGAGGCGGAGGTTGAGGTGAGCTGAGATCACACTACTGCACTCCAGCCTGGGCGACAGAGGGAGACTCTGTCTCAAAAAACAAACAAACGAACGAAAACAAAACAGGCCGGGCATGGTGGCTCATGCCTGTAAGCCCAGTACTTTGGGAGCACAGGAGGGCAGATCACTTGAGATCAGGAGTTCGAGACCAGCCTGGCCAACATGGTGAAACCCTGTCTCTACTAAAAATACAAAAATTAGCCAGATGTCCTCGCTTGAACCCAGGAGGTGAAGGTTACGGTGAGCAGAGATCAAGCCACTGCACTCTAGCCTGGGCAACAGAGCAAGGCTCTGTCTTAAAAACAAACCAAACCAAACACCTGTAAGGTTTCCTTTTTACTAAAGGGTCACAGAGACACCATCGCGATTTTTTGGGTGATTTATAAACTACTCAGCCTGCTTCTCTTTGCCCAGTGGGTCTAGAAATCAATGATTTCAAAGTAAATTCTTCTTGGGGGAGAAAAGGGTTTAATTATTCAACCAAATTACTGGTTAAACAAGAAGAATTGACTTTGAAACTTTGGTACACAATTTGGTGAAATCTATCTTAATCTTTTTTACCACTTTGTAGGTAGAAATTATTGATTTGCTTTCAAAATCTAAGGTCTTATAACAACATAAATAACTCTAAAATAAGATATTTTATGAAACAGATTGCACAAGCCCAGGGATGATATTACAGAAATAACATTCCTCATTGCAACTTACATAATTAATGAATAGAGAACATAACTGAGATGTTTCGTCTATTGCAGGGATGAAAACATGTCCAAGAGGGTCACACCCTCCTGGTGGGTAGAATTGAACCAGGGTGTTCATCTGACTGCCCAAGGAAATGGAGTTCAATTCTATAAAGCAACTGGTTATCAGGCAAAAAATGAGTCAGGCTCGGTGCGGTGGCTCATGCCTGTAATCCCAGCACTTTGGTAGGCCGAGGTGGGTGGAATCCCTGAGGTCAGGAGTTCAAGACCAGAGCAAGACTCTGTCTCAAAAAAAAATAAAAAGAGTCAGTTACCAGAGGGATTTTATCTCCTCTGCACTCTGTGCATTCCAACATTGCTAGATGAGATTACCTGGGGATGCACACCTGGTATTATGCACACCTGGATAATGGGGGTGGGGCCAATTTCTTGGAGTGGGACAGACACAGATGACTCATCATCAGGCTGGAAAATGTGGCTGTCTGTTTCAGATGTCATCCCTACCCAATCCTTCTAAACCACATGCTGAGACTATGACCTACAGTTTATATTTCCAAATTTACAGATAAAATATGTAGCTTAGACTTCATCAAAGAGTACTCTGAGGAAAATACCCACCTAGACGAACACAGACTATCCTATCAGATTGTTCTGAAGAAAGCTGAGCTCAGTTGCCACGTGGAATGTTTGGTTTGGGTGATCATTTATCCCCAGAGTAGAAACCTACCTGGCCCTTAAGACCAGGCGGATATATATGCGTTGGGCATTTCTGACACAGAAAAGCATATTCCAAATATTACATTACCATATTTTGTCAGATTTAAAACCATGACTTCATGGACCATTAAGAAGAAAAAACACTGCCAGGCCAGGCATGGTGGCTCACGCCTGTAATCCCAACACTTTTGGAGACTGAGGTGGGCAGATCACCTGAGGTCAGGAGTTTGAGACCGGCCTGGCCAAAATGGCGAAACCCCTGTCTCTACTAAAAATACAAAAATTAGCTGGGTGTGGTGGCGTGCACCTGTAATCTCAGCTACCCGATCGGGAGGCTGAGGCAGGAGAATCGCTTGAACCTGGGAGGTGGAGGTTGCAGTTAGCCGAGATTCCGCCACTGCACTCCGGCCTGGGCAAAAAACTAAACACAAAAAAAGAAAAAAAAAAAAAAAGAAAAAACCCACTGCCATTAAATATAGGAAACATCATTGAAATTAAATTAGTTAATATAAATTAGTTTTAAAACATCATTAAAAAACTGCCATTTAATATAGAAAATATGGAAATTTTTAAAATATGCCTTTTTAGAACTGACAGAACACAGTAATACATTCATTAGATTTAATTTTGGAGAATTTACAATAGAGAAAATAGGGTGGCAATTTAATGAATAGAGAAAATTATCTACTATCAAAACCACAGTAGCATGAGTTGTGCTTCTCCCCCATGACTAACTGGGTCTAAGGCACTGTGCTGAGCTGACATCAGTATAAATAAATCACCAGTGTTACCTTGGCACAGGGGAGAGAGGCTGAAGTTTCAAGCAGTGAAGTCTCCACCGCCTGTGCTGCTGTTCACGAAGCCATCTCCTTCCACTACTGACCATATTCTTCACAGGGAGAGAGAGGAAAACATGTTAGAATTGTAAAAGCTGACAGGGCACGCACTTAAACCATGGAAATACTGTTTGTGGATGTTACAAAACAAGATTATCCAGTTGTACAATAAGCCAAGGGGATATTAGGAATATTTTTATTCACTTGTAACTAGGTTTGTAGGTTTTTCTTAAAAAGGAAAATGTGAAAACCTGCATGCCTAGTTAGAATATACAACTATTCAATACCGTACTGAAGAGTTTGATAGTATTAAAAGAAGCTGCTTTGTTTCTTAAATATGAACGCATGAACTGGATGATCCAGCTTAATTCTATAGTTCCCTTGCAGGCTATTAGCTCTTCATACTTACAGCAATGAATCTGAGAATGTTTTTTACAATGTACGTTCAGGGTTTTATCAAGTCACAGGCCAGAACTTCTGACTATGTTCATTGTTTTTGTTAAATTTAAAAAAGAAAAACAGGAAAATGTGAGAAAATACACTATTAAAAAATCCAGGTGTGGTGGCATGCACCTATAATCCCAGCTACTCGGGAGGCTGAGGTGGGAGGATTGTTTGAGCCCAGAAGTTTGAGGCTCCAGTGAGTCAAGACCATACCACTGCACTTCATCCTAGCTGAGATTCTGTCTCTTTAAAAATAAATGAATAAAGAGGCCAGGTGAGGTGGCTCATGCCTGTAATCCCAGCACTTTGGGAGGCCGAGGTGGGCAGATCTTGAGGTCAGGAATTCAAGACCAGCCTGGGCAACATGGTGAAACCCTGTCTCTATTAAAAATACAGAAATTAGGCTGGGTGTAGTGGCTCACACCTGTAATCCTCTTTGGGAGGCTAAGGCAAGCAGATCACCTGAGGTCGGGAGTTCAAGACCAGCCTGACTAACATGGAGAAACCCCGTCTCTACTAAAAATACAAAATTAGCTGGGTATGGTGGCGCATGCCTGTAATCCCAGCTACTCGAGAGGCTGCGGCTTGAACTCGGGAGGTGGAGGTTGCGGTGAGCCGAGATTGCACCATTGTGCTCCAGACTGGGCAACAAGAGTGAAACTCCATCTCAAAAAAAAAAAAAAAAAATTAGCCAGGTGTGGTGGCATGTGCCTGTAATCCCAGCTACCCAGGAGGCTTGAACCTGGGAGGTGCAGGCTGCAGTGAACTGAGATCGTGCCACTGCATTCCAGCCTGGGTGACACCTGTCTCAATAAAATAAATAAATCAATGAATGAATACATAAATAAAATAGATTAAGTGTTCACAAAAGACATCATGTACATGGATAAACTTATACTGAATAGGTTCATCATCTGATTTAGAAAAGAAAAATGAAGAAAATACAAGACTGCATGAATGATCAGCTTGGATGCTCAGCTTCCAAATACCATCCTTCTGTAGTTGGTATAAAAGAACAAGCAAATTGAATTACTGAATAGTGCTATGTATGCATATAAATTATAAGTAAATGAAATAAAAATAAATAAAAACAAAATTTGGCTTTGATGGAAATGTAACTTATAATCCTTACAAAAATGTATAATGACCCATTTTGAGGTAAAGAGTTTCAGTTGTGTATTACCCTGTACAGAAGAAAGATATGAACTAAATGTCACTGCCAGAGGCCACCGTCACTGCAGGCTCCAGCACTATGAGAACACTCAGCTTACATGGTGGAACACTGGTGACCTACGCCTTTAGGTCACACAGGTGGTGATGGTTTGAAAATGCCTACAGATACTTTAATACTCCTGTCTTGAAGAGGTGAGGACAATTCTCCTTCTCTTGAATATGAACCGGACTTAGTGATATACTTCTAACAAACAGGATAAAAGGAAGTGGCGGCACATGATGTCAGAGCCTAGGTCATCCATACTGCAAGACTCCTTCTGGTTCCCTCCCCTGGATTGCTCATACTGGGGGAAGTTAGCTGCCACAGTGAGCAGCCCTACAGAGAGGTGGACATGATGAGGAAGCAAGGCATCTGCTGGTGGCCAGCGAGGAATGAAATACACATGCCCACAGCCATGTGAGTATGCCATCCTGGAAACAGATCCTCCAGCCCCAGTCAACCCCTCAGATGATTGTAGCCCCAGCTGACATCTTCACTTCAAATGCATGAGAGATCCTGAGCCCAAACCATCTGATATAGTTTGGATGTGTGCCCCTGCCGAAATCTCATCTTGAAATATAATCCCCAATGTTAGACGTGGGGCCTGGTGGGAGGTGATGGGATCACAGGGGCTGGTTTCTCATGATGGTTTAGCATCATCCCCCTTGGTGGCATCCTTGTGATAATGAGTGAGTTCTCACGAGATCTGGTCATTTAAAAGTATGTAGCACCACCCCCTTACTCCCTGTTCCTGTTCACACCTTGTGAGATGCCTGCTTTCCCTTCGCCTTCTGCCATTATTGGAAGCTTGGAGAGGCCTCTCCAGAAGCAGATGCCTGTGTTATGCTTCCTGTAAGGCCTGCGGAACTGTGAGCCAGGTCAGGCGCGGTGGCTCATGCCTGTAATCCCAGCACTTTGGGAGGCTGAGGCGGGTAGATCACACAAGGCCAGGAGTTTGAGACCAGCCTGGCCAACATGGTGAAACCCTGTCTCTACTAAAAATACAAAAAATTAGCTTGGTGTGATGGTGCGTGCCTGTAATCCCAGCTACTCAGGAGGCTGAGGCATGAGAATCGCTTAAACCCGGGAGGTGGAGGTTGTAGTGAGCCAAGATTGCACCATTGCACTCCAGCCTGGGTGACAAAGCGAGACTCCATTTCAAGGAGGAAAAAAAAAAGAACGGTGAGCCAATTTAATCTGTTTTCTTTCTAAGTTAACTACAGTCTTGGGTATTTCTTTTCTTTTCCTTTTTTTTTTCTGGTCTCCCTCTGTCACCCAGGTTGGAGTTCAGTGGTGCAATCTCAGCTCACTGCAACCTCTGTCTCCTGGGTTCAAGCAATCCTCCTGCCTCAGCCTCCCGAGTAGCTGGTATTTCTTTATAGCAATGCAAGAATGGACTAACATACCACCTAATCTGTTAATCTACTGCCAAATCTCTGATTTGAAGAAACTGTGAGATAATAAATGCCTTGTTGCTCCAGTTACTATATTGTGAGATAATTTATTACACAGCACAAGATAACATACACACAGTCCCCAGTATGGATCCCCGCCCCACACATGCCATGTGATCACAGGCAACTTACTTCATTTTTCAAAATCACTATTTCTTCATTTATCAAATGGGCCTAACACTCTGTGTATGAAGCGTTTAACACTGTATCTGGTAAACAGAAACCACTTGTAAACTGTTAGCAACTATTAATCAAACTTCCAAACTCAAGGCTTCTCAGATAGCCATGTCGAACAAACCTGAATTCGCAGAGCTGCAGCAAGGAGACTCACATCATCTTCCTCAATGAGTCCACCAAAATGTATTCTCGGAGAGCCACACCCAACTTTCCCTGTAAACAATTGGAGGGAAAAAAAGACTTTCAGCACATTGTCATTTCTAACCCATTGCTCCTTGCAAACAGCCAGCACACTGAATAATGGGCTCATTTTTCATCAAAGAAGTTAGGATGTCAGGGCATGGCTGCAGGTTGGTCACCTCTGGTACAGCCCTGGGACCCTCCACTGGGCCTGCTTCACATTTCACATTAGAGAAATGGCCATCTGGCCAGGTGCAGTGGCTCACGCCTGTAATCCCAGCACTTTGGGAGGCCAAGGCAGGTGGATCACCTGAGGTCAGAAGTTCAAGACAAGCCTGGCCAACATGGCAAAACCCCATCTCTACTAAAAATACAAAATCAGCTGGGCATGGTGGTGTGCACCTGTAGTCCCAGCTACTCGGGAGGCTGAGGCAGGAGAATTGCTTGAACCTGGATGGTGGAGGTTGCAGTGAGCCAAGATCATGCCACTGCACTCCAGCCTGGGTGACATAGCAAGACTCCATCTCAAGAAAAGAAAAAAAAAAAGTCATCTAAGTTATTAACCTGCGATAAATGGATTTTAAAAATGTAATGAAGCACACCACGTGCTTTGGAAAATCATACCTCACACTGAGTCAGGAAGAAACATCTAGACACACTATCTCTTCACACAAGCCCAAGTATCACTGTGATTTTTAAAATATGGCATAATTAGAGATAGAAATAAATAGCTCAAGAGAATTCATAGTGAACATTTAAAACATTTAATGTGGATGCAACATAGACTGCAGATTAGGCCACAGAATTCAGAGTCAGACTTGCATTAAAAGCATAGCTCTTCCTCTTGCTAGAAATTGTGATGTTGGGCCTGTTAATTAATGGGAGTAATATCAACCTCCTAAAATTTTGTGAAAATGAAATATGATAAGGTACATAAAGTTCTTGGCATATAGTATGTAGTTTAAACGATTAACATGAAAATAAAGCTCAGAAGAAAGGAACAGGGATGTACATTCCACAGCATAATCTGTCAGAATGACTTCATATCCTAATCTTTAGATTTTTTCCAAAGAGACGCAATGGCACGCATCTCAGCTCCCACTGCAACCTCTGCCTCCAGAGAAATGGTCCAAGAGAAACGTCAAAGCATTTCTCCTGCCGCAGCCCTTGCGAGTAGCTGGATTTTACTACGGAGCCCCACCATCCCAGCTAGTTTTTGTATCTTTAGTACAACAGATGGGCGGTTCTCCATGTTGGTCCAGACCTGCCTCAAACGCCTAACTCCAAGTGATCCGCCCCTCGCTCTAAAGGCTGGATTCACAGCCCTGACCCGCACCCTAGACGGTTCTATCACCTTCTATATAGAGAATTTTAAATTATCGAAAAAGCTCCGCTTTCCATGCTCTAACACTTTGACCAGCTCTTGACCCCTAAGGAATGTTTCCATCCGCCTTCGCTCACAACTTTGCATCCACTATGACAAAGTGCCTTCTATTTTCTACAACATGACAGTACGAGATTTTAGAGCCTTCCGGAACCGGCACCCGGCAGGTGGCCACACCCTAACTAACCCCAGCACTTTGATGTCAAGGTGAGCAGATCACTGAG